TTGAAATGATCGCAGAGCGGGAAAGCATTTACAGGTTGTTGGCTCAGGTCACTAAGGATAACATGAACAAAGCTATAAACAAGGTTTGTACTATATTTTATGCTTTTGCGGATTGAGTGACTATAGCGTGAATGATTACAGTACACAATCGATCCTAAGACTCGTTACGTGTCGCTGGAATCATCACTTCAGCCAGAGGACGTCGTTCAAATTGTGAGCTCTGACAATCCCAGATTAGGTAAGTAGTGCCAAGTTGAAGGCAGTTGTCTCTATTTCCTAGCACCCACTGTTCCAAAGTATTCTTCTCGGAACATGAGAAGAACGTGATAAATTTTCAAACCTTTTGCATCATGCTTATGCTTCCTATGAAGTTTTGTTGTGTACTTTGACTCATTACTATCGTATACTTTTTTCATAAACCTATCTCAAAACTGCTATATGGAGAATCCTGAGGAACTTGTTTCGATTATTTTACATAGCATCTTGCGTTTCGGAGCCGTGATCCAAAAAGGTCTGCCACGGTATGGGAAGAATGCAAAAAAAAACTCCCAACACCGTTTATAACTTTCCTGCCAGTCCGAAAATTAGAAGGAAATCAGTGGTTGAAAATTGTCCTAGGATATGTATTATGCAGTCTGGAGACCCTTATTTCTGAATTTGATGAGGAAAAAGTCTGTGGCGAAATTAAACGAGTCTCTATGAAAGAAGTGGTTTCGAGCTCAGAGCTGTTTTTAATGACATTTCTGATTTGAGCACCCATTGGACAACCGCTTACCATGAATAATAGTCGTTCCGTGCACATGCAACCAGCGTTGGGAACATACTCGTTGTGGAAATTCTGTCACCAGGCTCTTTCACCCTACAAACTGAAAATGTTCGATATGGATCTGTGGTTCGTTTTATATCCTCAGATATTCATTTTCTTTCTATCCAGTACAGTGATAGCTTCTTCTTTTCAGTTGGAATGATGGCCGAGCCCTTGCAGCATTAATCGCCAAGTTCAGGCCTGAATTAATGGACTACTTTTCTGTTATTGCTATAGAGAGTAGTGAAACCAGGCTACAGGTTGTTTTTTGAATATACGGTTAAGTTTCCATCTGATTCCATCTGGTTGTTTAGCTGGTGTTCAAAGTCGTGGAGGATGCCATGGCAGTGATCCCTCCGTGTACACCATCAGAATGGCCATTTTTGGTGAAGGAGGCAAAGATCAGCTACATTGGTGAAATAGTAGACATTATAAGGTGAGTTTTCTTAAGCCTCCATTTCAAGGTAACTGGTACTCCTTTTTTGTTGGCTCTTGCGTTGCTGTCAGATTAGAATTAACGTCATTTCTTAGCGTAAAGAATGAAAATGCGATTACTGAGCAGAAATACATTGTCACTCCGAAAAAAAATCCTGCGCACTGTAAGTCAAACAGAATTAATAGAAGTGTTCTCTTAAGAACAGAGTGGCGTAGCAAGTAGCCCGGCTTACCATATTTTGGACATAAAATTATGTACCGAATAAATTAATTCATCATTGAGCCTTATCCCTTCGGGGTTGGTCAACTAATTCCGGGACCACAGCCTATCCCCTCCCCAGAGAAACGCGTCCCCGCCGCTGATCCTATCCCATGCTACGGGGAGACAGGGTTACGTCATAGGACCTGCCATTGAGCACGCAGTGGTCAACCAAGCGCGTGAGAGTCCAGACAGAAAAGCACATACTTTCTGCTTTTCTAGGACTAAGCCTTTTGAAGGAAGGAAAGAAAGCAGAGACGCTGTAATAGTGTGCATATGCGAGAGTGCCCAGAGAACACTACAAAACGCTGAATCACCAAGCCTTTTGGTTGACCGCTGCCCTTGGACGGAGATATTGTAGCTTTTTTTCCCTGTTGAACCACTCTTTTATTTGCGGGGTTGCACTTTCTGGAGTTTAGGAACGCAGAGTATGGCTGGTTCTATGACGCAACCATGCCTTCAACAATAGGATAGGATCAGGAGGCGCGTTCCCTTGGGGGAAGGATAGGGTTATGGCCCTGGACTTTTATGGAAGGGCTAAAACACTGACTTGTACATGGTTGACCCTGAATTTCGTTGCATAGCCCAAACAAACCACATTTAAACGGTCACTACTCTGGGAGTGAATGCACAGCGCACTCTGGAAGTGACGTTTGATTTGATAACGACACCGATTTATGTACGGGATCAACCGTTCGTTGTGTAAACCACAACCAAGGTATTTGTACATCCAGTAGTGCAACGTGTATTTTCCTAGCTCCAATCTAGCTTTCTTCTTTCTTTGTAAGAAATCTCCACTGAGTCTTATTTTTCACTCACTCTCAAGCGAAGCTGCTCTCTTATAGATGCATAGTCATATTCAATAGCTACTATTGTGTTAAGGGGCTGGCGTCTGATGAGCTGTCCTTCATAATCTCGTTATTTGCATAACGAACTCATACTGCATAGTGAGTCTTTCTGGGAACTATCATTTGCATGCGCAGTGTGGACATGACAGTTTTCGCTCGTGAAAAGTGGTTGAGCGGGGGGGGGGGTTGTCAGAGAAAATGGACATGTCATGCATGTTCTGTAATACTGATAAGATTATTAACACGAAAAAAGTTGTTTCGACCATTAGTCCCTTATTTTCTTTAGATTATTGAGGGGACAGACAGAACAACATGACTCATAATCAGAAGGAGTGAAGGGAGACATCTAGAGTGACGGGTTCACAACCAGTGAAATGAAGTAGAAAGATAAGAAACGTTGAGAGAATGACTAAAATGATTGCTAGTTGTAGAAGGTAGACAGAATGCTCGTAATGAATGAATTGCTAATCAAACGAAATGGGAAGGGCGAAATGGTGCCAAAACTGGAAGAAACTTATGTTACTTTGAAGTTTAGGATTTCAATGCTATGGTGAGGGGTGGGGGACACTAACAAAGCGGAATGCAAGAACATAAGGTGAGGTAGTGCCCGCATGTTTGCATGTTTCTATAATAGAATTTGAAAAACTTGAAGAATCCCGCGTACTGTCTTTGATTGGATCGTAAATGTTATCGGAGCTAATGTTATCTCTCCGTACTTTTCGCTGTTGGGGAAATACACAGTTTCGTAGAATTTCTATTTCATTGAGCGTGTGAAACTAATAACATGAGTCGGGGAAGGTCAGTCAGTTCACGAACGAAAAACCTAACGGGCGCTCGCCACCTTTTTTGTTGTGACCGACGCACGACCTACATTGCAGAGCCGCATGCGTTTCATAGTAATAGCTACAGGGTGCCTAAAATGTAATGTAATTCGTATAGTTGCAGCGCAGCCAGAAGGATGGAATTTTATTAAAAAACCGTGTGTAGCATTCACCAACCACACGTGTTCCTCACCGGGACTTAGATTATTCAAGCCGTTCCATGTCTGTCAAATTGCCCACTGCAGTAACTACAATAGCATTTTTATTCCTTGAAATCGCTGCTTGAGATCTTCGAGCATGTCTGGGAGGCTGACTATTCGGCGTCCATGTTCTTGTGATTAGCAGCCACCCTTCCAAAACTTCTGATCTGGGCGTTGTCATGTGAGAAATGGTATCTTTGATCGACATTTCTGCTTCGTGGAGTCGCTGGTGAAGTAATCTAGCATAGTACCAACCCATAATCTTGATGTTTTGTTGCAGATAGCTTATCGACAAATTTCGTCTGCATCTTGACAGATAGTAGGTGTAACTTCTCACCTCGGGCCTTTAATGGTTTCGGAGAGCCAAGATGTTTCCAAGAGTGTTTTGCAGATAAGAGTCAGTGTTGGGTTGTTACAATCAATCCTTATCGTCAAGTACTATCCTTGCACAAAGGTTACTTTCATTGTCGTTGGAAAGCTGGGAAACTTCGATTGGGAACCCCGATTTGCTTTCTCAAATGGTAGGAGTGTTTCGAGGGCCCATCACTTCGTCACCCGTTTCGGGCCTAGATTAACCTGCAAGATCTGACCTGCACTGTCAAAAGAGGCTTGTTTTTCCCGAGAAAAAAATTGGTTTTTGAAAGTTATTCATAGTTGCGGGACGAACACTTGTTTCATCACATCTTTTACTGTTCATTGGCGGGCTCATTTCGAGTGGGCTTTCTCTCGCATCTAAAGTTCGTGGTCCACAGTTTCACTTAATATTAAAGGAGCGTATCCTCATTGTAAATGCCCAGCAACTATTCTCGGGATTCTCCTGCTCCGATTCCCCGTGGAACATAATAGTTCGAGTGATCACTCGATACTTGCGAGTCTACCATGACTCATTTCAAAAAAATCGTATTTTACTTTCAATGGTATGAACACGATTTCCTTGAAACTTTGCATACAATCACGCAATCGCATTTTATAAAGTCACAGCCGGAACATTCGCATTGCTCACTTTTGGTACATCCTCTATCTCAATTTTTTCTCTCATGGCAGTAAAAATCATTCATACAGTCACGCGGTATGAGTCAGAACTGCGCGCGAGATTTCTCTCAAATTTTCTGAATCCCTAAAAGTTATCATTTTAACACATTGCGGACCGCCCTTATACGAGCATCTCCATACCTTTTTCATGTTTTTAAAAAATGAATCATCATTAATCTATCAACAATTTTATCAGTGATGATACTTATGCTTTCCTGGTTCTGAAAATGAGTGCAAGCACTTAAGGAGCATTGAAAAATGCCAAATAAATCAGAAGGACTATGATCTTCCGCTCCAAATCGTGCGCCACATGGTGGCGCACGTGGTACGCATGTGTTAAACAAAAAGCACCAACTTAACGTTTTTCATCCCCATCTTCAACGAAGCTCGATCTCACTGGTCAATCATTATAGATGCGACAAAAATCGCTTCAAGAGTCAGATGGTAACGCCAAGGTCTCACGTTGTACAAAAGAGGAAGTTTCAGCAAACGGTAGGTTTATTCATGCTCAATTTCCTTTAAGCCTCGGTATCCATAGAAGTTAAATTTTATGTTCATAAATCAATAAAAAGATTATCATTTGTGATGAACACCTGGTTGCGCGTTATATTCGCTCCGCCAGTTCGCACGTATATAGTCCCACTGGAGGTTAATATTAGGTTGGTGCACTATGAATGTCGCACACTTTTATTTACACCCCATTCGGCTGCGTTTGAACATCAAGAGGCACTCATTAGCAAGGGACATCCAAATGTACAAAAGTGAGTACTGTTCAGCCATACATCTCAGTTTTTGTTACTTGGATTTGTTTTCGAACCATAATCAACCAAATTTCTCGAATGCTCGTGAATATTCTTCGACGTATTGAGGAGTCGAATTCAGCCCCCACGGCAGAACTTCGCGCAACTCTGCAGCACACAATCCCAGCGCAGGCAAATAAAGTTGACACGCGATGATATCTGCACGTCTCACTCCAGCAGTGAGCATCCACCAGCGGAAAATGTAACTCAGCCAACTCACCGAACAACGATCTTCGAAACCCTTCGATGTTGCAGCTTCCTTGCACATCCATATACTGTGACACCCAGCCAGGGCATTCGTTTATGTAAAAAGGCAGAGAATCACAAATGCGTTCATAGGACTTTAGCTAGCCCACACTTGCTTCAGTTCTTCGTGGAGGACGGAAAGCCACCTATTCGCGGTCGGGGAATGCTGTTTACTGTCAGCGTAAGGAAATAGAGGCGTGCCACCTAACTGCCGCAGTCTTTTTGTCCTAACTGCCTGGCCTGCACTCGACAATTCGTGAAATTGAAGTACTTAGTTCGAGAGACGTCATGCTTGTAATCGCCATGGCAAGCGGGTTGAGTCAAACGATCCGCGAAGAACCTTTGAAAGTAAATGTGGTATCTCAATTCTGCGCACTTACGCAGACTAGCGATATTTCTTGATATACGTTACCTCTTACAAGGGGTGAAGTTAGTTGTCACCTTTGTTTTTTAAGGTTGGCTCTTCGAATGTGAAGAGGTCGGAACCTATCCAGAAACTAGCGGACAATTTGATGGGATGTGCTTCATTCAACCATACTAGTGTGATCACGGCGGCGAAAAAAGTAATTTCATACGTTGTTGTATTTGTAATTGTTCTCTCGACACTCCCATTCAGGAACCGGTTTCGGCATCGGTAGAGCATCCAAGTTGGCAAGCGGAAAATATCAATCCGATCGGCAGGTCAAATGAAGAAAAAGTGACTGTCACGCGCCGATATTCGTACAAATCTGTGTCTGGACCAAAAGTATGATATATAATCATTTAATGTCGAGGTTATCTGGGGAGGTGGCAGTATAGTTAACATTTAGGAAGAGGATGCGATGAAATACACTCGGCGACCGGTTGATCGTCTCAATCTTGAGCTTCCTAAGGTGTCTTTATTTGTGCCCGCCACTCGAGCTTCTTACAAACTTTTAACACTCGAATTTTTAGGTAGAGAAGATCAGTTTTGGCACTGTTCGCGACGAATCAATTCTCAATCCACACGCAGAAAAAGATAGCCGAGTGAGTTTCTTCGTCAACTTCTTCTTCTCGAGACTTGTTATCGGTGGATTTTTTACATGTGCAGGTGCAACGTTTGGCAGAGAAAATCGCTAAAAATGGCATCGACGAACCGGAAAAGAACTTGGAGAATACCGGCACGCGCGTGGTGCTCAAGGGAAAGGAGCCTATAATTGTTCAAGATGATAAGGTCAGTTTTTACGGGTTACCGAGAGCTTTCTGTGGAGTTCAGGGTCAGATACATCGTGAAATTACTGCTTGTGTAACAGAAACAGAATGGTTTACCCTCAAAACATTTCACATATTATGCTGCATCTTCATCCTGCAGTACTTAGTTGAAGGATCATAACAGTGGATCTACAACTATAAGCGGTCTCTAGAAGAAGGGTTCCTGTTGGGATTGGTTCGCTCGATAATCATAAGTGGCGATCGGGAAAACCTACCGAATTCTTGCTTTGTTCCAGAGCAGTGCACCAGAACCCACATTATCCGCTCCGCCTAAGAAACTGAAGACTGTGGGGAAAGAACGTGATGCTGTTGTATTAAGGGTGAGAGCAATTATACCGTATCATTGAATGTATTCGATTCGAAGTTTTTCAGCCAGTGGCGCCTGTGCAGCCGAAGCGCCATTTCTCAGCGCCATCGATGTCAGCACTTTACGAAAGTGTGAATCCCAATCGGCAAGAGGACTTGTCAGTTATGTGAGAAGGTTGGTGTCATTCTTTTTTTGACTATGTCATAACTTTCTTCTTTTTACCAAGGTTCCATTTGAAGGTCGTCTACTTGGCAGAGCGCATGCAAGTGGAATCAATGTTTGTTCATAAGAACTGCTTTCGGTGCGCCTACTGTGTAGCCAACCACTACGCATAGGGGAATGTGGAAAAGACAAAGATCTGGAATATCACTATCCAAGAAGGTTAGGTAATCAGTTTAGTTGAATTGGCCTCAGAACAGACACAAAAATTACCGTCAACTAGAGTGCTTGTCCAATCGTTTCGAGTGCTTCCATTGATTTATTATTTGGTTGCAGATTCTTCTGCAAAACTCATTTGCGTTTGCCGTTGAAGGAGAAGATTGCGCGTATAGAGCGTACCGCACGTTTACAAGAGAAGAATAATAATCGCGATGAAGAATCTTCCGGTTTGAGCCGAGACATCAGTTTACCCGTTCCTCTTAATATCGCAGCACCTAAGGATACCGAACCATCGAGGTACACATTATTTTGCATTTCAATTCATCAGCAGACCCGCATACTTCGGTTAGAAAATTTCAAAGTCCAGTGGCTCATTGGTGCAATGTACTGCGACACTCAGCTTCTTTTCTCCAGAGCATCTTCGGGATAGAACCGTTCAGAAAATGCGAGACAACTTAATGGTGAGTTTAATAAAAAGGCAGTTCTTGTTCTTCTTTTTGCCTATCCTCGTTTCTTTATCTGTATTATACACAAAACACTTCCATAACTAATTTTTATGAGTTTATTCTGAGTCATGTTCCAGGGAGGTCCTATCTCACCAGTTTCTGAAGTACCTTCCATTGATGACCGCACACCTGAAAGAGCCGAGTTCAGTAATCATCTGCGGACATCTAGTACAGCGGTGGGTAGTTTATTTTCTTTTCTGCCCTTCCGTGCTATTATCATTACCACTTTGCTCTTGGAGATGCGCATGGTAAAATTTGGCAAATAGTCCGACCGTTGTTAATCGCTTCATTGCCATGCTCTCATTTGCACTTTCTTTCGCATGTATAGTGACCTCGCGTCACGTCGCAATTAGTGCAATCGCAAGATATTCAAATTCCTCAAGACTTTCACCGTGCGCCTGATGGTCATTATTCAGGCTGAAAGCGCAGAGCAAAAAGTTGAGGAGTTTTTCCATTTGGCAGACCAATTGCAGCTAGGTGGGAAGCGCATACTTTTGTCTGATATGTTAATTTTTAGTCAAACGCCGACCCAGTGCAACATCAAGCGGAATCGGATTCATTGAGTTCGTCTTCTGATTTTTGAGGCTGAATTAGAAGAATGTGGTGAGCTGTTGGTTTCAGATGGTATTTATGAGGAAGCCTATGCTGTAGTTTTTAGGCAGGAGTAGTCCAGAAGCCTTTATCGACGCTGATGCCAGCATTTCCGAAGAGGAAGGCGACGAGCTTGAAGAGGGCGATCTTGAAGAACTTGAAAGAACAGTGCTGCAGTACTCTGAGGAAAATTCCAGACCGGCCTCTCACAGAGGAAACAGGCTTAATCAGCCGCTGTCCTTTGCATGTCTCGCAGAATTCTTTTTTCTTTACCATTCTCACGTTTTATGAATTCAACTAGTATCGCTACTTTATGCTTCAGGTAGTATCTGCTCATTGAAAGTGCAAGTTCTGTCGAGAAGACACACCGCATGAGTACACCCAGGGACTCAGCACCATCATGCCAAATGGTGACCGCTCTGGCATGTTGGGTCGTTACTTTTACTACATACACCGCGTGTGAGCCAGTGGATTGCTTCAGTCGGCATGATAGAGTGTCTTGTTTTAAGAATAGAACCACTTGCTATGATAGTTATCACAACTTTCTTGAAAAAGCTTGAAGGAAGCTGCACTCAGTAGAGTAAATCTATAACTGGGAAGATGTTCCAGTTTGGGTCAATTTTGTTCCCATCTAATTGATGACCTTGTAAAAGCTAGTAGAATGGAGGTCTTGAAAAGCTGTAATATGTACTACTTACTGGGTACTCTTCAACAACAATCTCGTGTTTTTAAATTTATTTTTCGGCGAGCTGGTGTGTCTCCATTGCATACTTTGTTGCCGACGGTTTCATGCTAATTACTTTTTACTGAAAAACCTCTATATGAAGCTGATATGAATGAAGGAAGGGCAAAGTGGTGGGGCTGTGTTCCTTGTGTTTTGCATTCATGCTTCAGTATGAGAAGAAATAGTGGAATCGAGAATTCTCGACACTATATCTCCTCAAATTCGTAGCTGTTGTTCTGGTTAAAGGTCGCCGTCTAGCAAAACCGCAGTTCAGTGCTGCATCGATTTTAACCAATCTTGGCATGTCGTCAGAGAGAATATGTCAGTCAGTATAGTGAATAAGCTCCAACCAAGATTGATAACAACTTTTATTTGGCTTACGTTTCGGCGCTTTCGCCTTCTTCAGAGCCTGGAAAGAGGAAAGCCATTTACGAAACTACCCGTCCAAATACTATTTCAACCTACAAGAATCGCTCAGCAGGGGTAAACTACTAGGGCGACGTCGTGGGACAGAAAAAGACAACTAACCTTTAGAAAAGTCGACCAATGAGGTCTCACCAGCCTTTTGGGTGTCTTGATCTCCATGATCAACCCTCAGGAGGGTCCTTAAGCAAGTGACCTTGGGGCTTCACCTATTTAAGCCGCATTACTGTCAGCTCAGGGTGGCAGGTGGACCTCATTGGTCGACTTTTCTAAAGGTTAGTTGTCTTTTTCTGTCCCACGACGTCGCCCTAGTAGTTTACCCCTGCTGAGCGATTCTTGTAGGTTGAAATAGTATTTGGACGGGTAGTTTCGTAAATGGCTTTCCTCTTTCCAGGCTCTGAAGAAGGCGAAAGCGCCGAAACGTAAGCCAAATAAAAGTTGTTATCAATCTTGGTTGGAGCTTATTCACTATACTGACATATTCTCTACGACTCATGCCAAGATTCATTGAGAGTCGCACATGGAAACTATTTCCCAGTTGCTTTCTCGCGCTCTGCTGTTCCTCATCTGCACCGTAAAAAAGGCAATGAAAGCAAAAAAAAACAACAACAAAAATGTTGCTGAAATCGTCACTCAGTATTGGGCGTGTTGCATCGCGTGACGTGGGGTTTTCAGTAAAGAAATGTCAGGAAAGAAGTGTTCTTATTCAGGAGATCATACGGTAGAGTAGGGAAGGGCAGATTCGTGGCATCCTATCAGTAGTTGGTCGAAAGGCGGCATTCCAATTGAGATAAAAGTGTTCTAATCACATTTCCTTCAATCCTAATGGTAAGTGTTGTGTTATTGCAGCCCGATACTTTCTATACTCCGTTGGAACGATTTGCGCACGGTACTCATGGTGATGAACCTGGCGGTAGTGAACTATCTCCAGATTCACCTCCAATCAATAATGTGGAGCCCGACGTTTTCTCTACCCCATCGGAAGCATTACTGGCCAATGACATTAAGAAGGTTGCTGCATCTTTGATTCAATGTGTTAATGTTCTTGTTTATGATAAAATTGTAGAAAAAGGCTGACGATCTGGAGCGTCTGCGAACGGAGTCTCGATTAAAAGCTAGGTTGAAGACTGATGAAGAACTCGGACTAGGTTCGTAATTTTTATAATTACTTCCCTTTTTATTATTCGTGGTTGGTGGTCTTCCATTTATTTTCGTGTTATTTCGAATAGGTCTGCTGGTTATCTAAAATCCAGTAGCTTTTACTCCTCTCATTCTTTTTTGATTTTTTCATAGTCTTCATTTTTTTCATTCCTAAACTCATGACTGTTTATAGAATAGCTATTAGAAAGCTCGTTTTTGTTATTCTCTGCTATTTCCATTCTAGATTATGTTCTTTTCAGAAAGCGCGAAAGAAGAAAGAAGATCGATGCCAGTGACTGATTTTGCAACTCCTATATCTGCTCTCCCTGCTGCTACCCAACGTGATGAACGCATGGTGAAAGTACGTTGTTTCACTTTGAAGCATGTTTTTTTCCTTTCTTTTTTTTTCCTACATTTGGGCAGCTTTAACCAATGTAATGGGAATTTCTTCTTATCATGCAGCAATTTTGGTTCCTTTAGTTTCTTTACTTTATGTAGGATAGGATTTGGGCAGCTTTAACCAATGTAATGGGAATTTCTTCTTATCATGCAGCAATTTTGGTTCCTTTAGTTTCTTTACTTTATGTAGGATAGGATAGCTATTATGTCCGATTTTTTTGAAGGAAGAAGGCAAGGAAAGAGTAGGACGTCTCCCTGAAAGACATGCGCCTGGTTTGCTCTCACGGCTGTTAATTCCGGAAGCGACGAGTAAGACTCAGGTGAGCTGCAGACATTTTTTGCAGAAAAATCTGTTTTGATGTACACCGACGAGCACCTTTTGTAGCCGGCAAACCGTTTTAACCCTAACGATGTGGTGCATTCCGAGAGCCGCAAGGAAACCAGCATCCTCGCCAATTCGTTGCGACGCTTTAAGATGAGGCGCGCCGAAGTTCATTCAAAAGGTATGCCACGTTAGAAAGTGTTTCAGGATTAGCGATTAACTTTTCTATGACCTAAAGCTTCTTTCCATAAACTGTTATGCCCCTAAGGTCTCTAGCAGTTATCTCCAAAAAGGTAAAGACCATAGTTTACATTTTTTTTTACTTTTTGTTTACGGACGAAACATCGTTAACACTGTTTTATGATGAGCGTAATGATTCTCAGGACTGACAGGTGCCATTCTGTCCAAAACTCATGTGATATTCAGTACAGGTCTTTTAGGGTCTAGTCAGCAGTAGCTCTGCAAGAAATTGTGTGGCGTGATTGAATCCTTTACTATGTATTAGTTTATGCAGATGTCCAGTCGTCCTCGTCTGCAAGCTCAACGTGTACATCTCCTCATCCAACTAATGCTCCGTCTGGTGCAGATATGGAAAACCGTGAAGTACCATTTGCAGCTGTAGCTCCTTCTCCTCGGTTGGACGCAGGTACCATTTCGACGTGTAACTTACTTTTTGTTATACATTTCTCAGGCTTAGTTTGTTCAGATGAAGGTGATTCATCTCCACATATATCCGTTAATGAGCGAAATATTCGACTTTTTCACAAAAGAGCTGAGAATTAGAAGGTTAGCTTAATAATCACGATAACTTCTGGTTTGTTCATTTGAAGCAATTTAATATTCTAAATAGGAATATTAATTTGTAGACAACATGACGATGAGCGCCGTCGCGGAGCGCAAGAAATTCAACGCGGTTTACAAGAGTGCGAAATACGGATGGAGGAGATAAAGACAATCGGCAATCCCTAGAACTGAAGCTCATCGAAGGTTAGAAAGTTGCGAAAAGCTCAACGACTTCTCCGGTTTTACTTGCAGTATAATTTCCCGGCAGCAGAGTAAATGGGATCACATATTATTGGAACCTTCTGTAACAAAGTTTTTTTCAGATCCTGAAAACGCATGGGCAATGGACTCATGGTTTGCTCTAGTCCATGAGAGGGAGCTCCTAAAGAGCAAGGAAGAAATGCTGCGCCTTAGCAAAAGAGAGGTTGAACTTGAAGTAAGTAGCCTTTTTCTTTGAAATCTTTGTGTGGGGCGTAGCTTCCTTCAATTTTGTCAGGATTATATTAATATACGATCCTGTTTAGGTTAAATATCGAGATCTGAACCTGCGTTTCAAGCAGCTGGGTGAAGGAATGAACGATAACCTGACTGCAAATGTAAAACTTGAACTTTTAGACGTTGCATTTGCATTTCTAATCTATCTAGTTATATTTATTCAGAGTGATCTTCTCGCGGCGATGTTGGCAGTTGTTGAGGAAAAGAAGGAAGTAAACAGGTTATGCGAGAATGCCAAGCAGAGCTACAAAATGATCAACGCGAACATGAAAGCATTGAGAGAAAAAGGTCGAAATTTCGAGAGATTCAGACCTGTGTTTTCTTCGCAGTGAGCTTTAGCCTTTTGTAGAGGTTTTTTAGTTACTTTATGGCTATGTGCATTCTCTTTACCATCATTCGTCGCACTGTAGAAGTGAATTTCCGGGGTTTTTGCTTTCTTTCAATCTCGGGCTTCTGAAGAGTTTGTATAGGGAGGGAATAGTATTTAGAGAGTAAGATATTCTGATTCTGAAAACGTCAAACTTGTAAATCATCCGCGAGTAATGACGTTGCGACGAGTGGTGGCGAAGTATGTGCGTGGCCTAGTAGCTAGTTGCTCTTTCTTTGTAAAGTGTACCATGGTTCTTTAACAGGTCATTCTTGTACCATCTCACTCATGTTTTCATCTCTTGTTGCCAGTCGGCTTTGTTATTTATTGTGATGTTTGTGATTGCAGCTGTTCTGCAACACTGATGCTCACTGCTTATCTGCCTAACGTTCTTCTTACATATGTTTCTGTAAGAATTGTTACTAGTCAATGGTTGTAGCTGTACACTGCTTTTAAGCCTGCTAGTCATCGTTCATTCGCTTCAATACTTTCAGTGCTGTTTTGAAAGCCTCATGAAAAAGGTTCTTATAATAAATCTTTGGCTCCAAGCAAGTTATTCCAGTAAAGTTACACTACTTTGCTATTTTTCGTGACTGCTTTGTTCACAACATAGCCATGAATCAACGCTGATGTTGCTGTTCTTCAGAGATCAGCAGAAGAATGCCAATAGGCGCTCAAAGGCGATGCTCTAAAAGTGGTGAAGCAGAAAATGGACTGCTGTGTAGACGAAGGCTTGCATCTAGTGATTCATTCTCACCGGTTGTTGAATGTGATGTGAATACGAGCTCTAGCTCAAATGAAACTAGACGCCGTGCCGAACACACGTACTTTGATGATGACGCTGAACAGGATTGCGAAGCAAACTGCTCATCTTCAGTTTTAGCCGACATATCTACGAATAATATCTCTACCGAGAATGTACACAAACCAAAGTCCTTACTTCCAAGGCGGACATTCAAGCGGAAGCGTCTCAGCTCAAAGGGCAGTAAGTGTGAGGGTACACATATATTTCTTCATTTTTTTCTATTTATTTATGCTACGTGAAACGATGGCGGTACCCCTTGAAAGATTGTAGTGCCCAGATCTCTGTTGAGTCGTGCTTCAATTTAGAGCCAGTACTTGATGGCGTTCGTAAAACAGGTTCAGCGGCCCACTGTCATATTGCTCCCATGTTTCTCTTTCAGAATCATCGATGTCTTAAGTTTCGTTCCCAGTTATACGATCACGTTCACCTGCAAAGTATTAGGGGAGCTGAAAGGGTTACCATCTTATTGTTGAACATCATGTGATTCAACCGAAGTCAGCCCCTCCCTCCCCGGGGCAGGGGAGCGCTTGCTATAATAAAACGCTGGACGCAGGCGCACTGCAGACAGCGGCGTTGCGTCTCAAAGGCAAGCCCGGGGATAAGCTAAGCGGTATATTCCTTCGGGGTAGTTAGAAGCTAGCGAACCGCCGATGTGCCATCCACAATTCGAAAGAGTGTGGGCAGAGTCTCACCAGTGCCCAGCTACGGCCGCGGTTTCGGAGAGCACACGCCGGCTTTCCGGTACTATCTGCGTACGGGTACTTCGGGCGCGTTTTTGTTTTCTTTGTTCGTCGTAATCTCGCCGTACCCACCCTACTAACAAGAAGTTTTGGCTTCATTTTAGGGCTTTGATGCTTATTTTGCGTTCTCTTTTTTTTTTATTTTTTTTTTTTGTTTAATATTATTTTCCACGTCAGACTTTCCCTCCCCCACTCTATTGAATGCTTTTACACACCTTTCATCACATTCCATCCCAAAACTTGCCTTCAAGCGGTCTCGCATCGGGCGATGAACCACGTTCTCAGTGTCAAACGGATCGTTATTGTACTAAATGGAATACGCGTCCATCGAAAGGTTTGAAGTTATACCTTACGACTATTTTTGCGCATTAGGTGGGCGTTAGCGATGACTTGGGCGTGTAGACACAAAGCAAACCATGGAATCCCCCGACTGATTTGTGTTCTAAATAACAAGCGCATGATTATATAATCTCACTCGTTCACTTGGCTAAAAGTCCGACTTCTATTCCTCTTAGATTCCGGAACACTAGACGCCGTGATGGTGTTAGGGTGAATTTGACCATTTTAAAAATTTAGGTGAGATCCTCGACGTTTCAAGCTGCAGCACCGTCTCAAAAAAATCTCAGCACACAAAGAAGAGGAAAAAGATTTCTAGCGTTACCGTAGAAGGAAATGTGGACAAAAAAGAGCGAGGTTGTTTAGTACATCGTTATAGCGCCACTAAATTGCTTATTTAATTTTCCCGTTTTCAGAAAATTTTATTAAAACTCTATCGAAAGAACTGGTTGCTGATGTGAAGCGAGACGTTTATTGATCGGCTTTTTTCTTCGCCACTTCTGATAAAGTTATCCATGCTTGATGACTCGTGGACTGAACTCTGCACCGAACAGTTGAAACGTTTTCAACCGGAACGGTTCATGTTTAAAATTACACGCTTCTTCCGTGATGAGGTAAGAAGTACTGTCTGGTGGTGATTTCTGCTGAATGTCTTCGTTGAAGAACCCGTTTGGTGCGGACGTTCGTAGAAGAGGATGGGAACATGCACGCTAAGTCATTTCACGACGACGTTAGGCTTTTGGTACGGATGCTCCGCTATCTTCTGGAGTCGAAGTGGGGGGCTGGTGATGAAGGAAGTAGTTTCATGCTCGGTAAGTATCCTATGACTGGTGGATGATTTTCGATGTCATTCCGAAGTACCTCTAAGTAAATGTAAAGCG